AATAGAATTTTCATAGAAATAATGGTTACGCGCGATTACATAAATAATTTATCTAGATAATGACAACGGAAATCCCCCATCGTTTATGGCTTTATTTTAAACCCACTTGCTTTCCGCAGAAGCGTTAAGTGCGAATTGGTAAAACAATTTTCATAAGGACAATAATATATTAAAATGGCTGCTGGGTGGAAATACAACGCTTTTGTCGAGTGGCTCGACTATCAGATACCCAATAGTCAGCTAAGGGGTGTGCAAAGCAGATGAGGATGGGCTACATCTACTTGACTAGTGATCCCTAGGAATATTTATGCCTACTTCTATCTTTGAACTGTGTACTCTTTAAGGAATCTAATATACCCTTTTACTATATGAGTAAAGGGTATAGCAACAAGGACCTTGTTCTGTAATGGCTTATGGGACGCCTATATTTGATTTTTTATCACCACTTCTTAGTGGATGGTTGATGCTCGAACATGTGGGTATTTGGGTACACTTATATTTCCATAATCCGACTGAAATCATAGTGTGTGCGAAGCCATTAAACGCTGCATTAAGGAACAGCCAAGGGCTTTAATGCTGCAATATCACAACATTTTAAAAATAAAACAGCTATACACGTAGGTTGGATATCGAAATTCAAACAATTTACTGAGCCATTCATAAGCTTTTCCACGGAATAAATGATTGAACATCGTATTTTCTTTTCATTACATTTGCATAAATAAATAAATATCAGGCACCCGGGTATTCAATTACATGCGGCAAAGCAAATGGCCAATCGCAAATCTTTTAGTAAAGCCGGTGTCCCTGTTTTTTTTACGCATATTTCATATGAAGAGCGAAAACAATTCCTGCACAACTGAAAAATGGAAAAGAGCTCGTCTTTCTTTATTTTCGTGGCGGAGTACGAGTGTCCAAAACACCCGCCTTATTTATTCACAACATTCGTGCGGCGCTGCGAATTCCACAGCGCCCTGTGTGCCCAAAACAATCCCAACTTAACTGCATTTATTATGAGACGCACTAAGTCCTAAAAACCAGGAGATAAGATTCAGTTACCGTCGCCTGTTTTCGGTTCGATTCCCAAATGGTTGGATACGTGGGCCGACTGTTTGCGATGTGATAACATGTTTCCAGTGGGCTGGGATGACACCTATGTATGTTGGTGGCCCCCACTTCCTCCGGATCTCGAGGCATTTAAGTGGCGTGTGTCCATAGCTGAACTACTGATAAATTGCATTGATTTATCAAACGTATGCGTGAGAATGTAACCACAAATGTAACAAGCAGCTATTGGATGGGTAGCGACTAACTGGTACCCCGAAAATAGGCTTAATTCTTAAGGTAGGAGGAGAACGAACAACAGAGATAGCTTACAGGGGAATTATTTATTCTGAAATATCATATAATCAAGCAAGGTTTACAGCATATAGTGTATCGTACAAAACATTTAGCATGGAACACAAATAGTATAATAGGAAACAGGATATCACGCCGTCTTAACAATAACATGTCCAGGCAAATGTTAAAAAAAGGCAACATGCAAAATAAGTTGATTTCAGTTTGTATTTATAATAAGCTATTTATTTTACCCTGTCTGCTTAGTTGGGACTTCACTTTGTCAAACCAAATTATCGGGGTACCAAATCGAGGGTCACCCGTTCGCTAGGAGTCCATAAGTAGTTGACATCCAGATGGTCGCCAGATAAGCGGACTTCTGCCGGCCACTGGATGTCATAAATCACGGCACTTCGCTGTGAAGTTGGGTTTTTGGTGCGGATGGGGGCGATGTAAGCCAGTTATTGATATAGGCTAACAGGTTTATTTGTCGGTCTAATGGCAGAGGGTCTAGAATACGAGTATATTCATTATCGTTAGAACTGCGAGTATTTATGGTGGCGAATCAAGTGTGATGCGTGGCACTTTAAAGGGCATAATTTATCACTTGGCCTAGTAGTCAGTGTCAAAATTCAATTAGCTAAGTGTTGTGCAAATAAACCTGACCGCAACCCACCACCCACTTGTGTTAACATTCAGTTAACAAATTAATTACGCTGGGCGACAAACAATGAGGACAATGTTGACATTTCAACAGGCTCATCGGGCAGCCAGTTTCAGTTTGAAAATAATTCAGCGATTTGCAGCTTCTGCTCAAAATTTCTTAATTAGTGTGCCTTTGTTCTCTAACTTCATTTACATATTTGGGGTATTTGGGTATTTGCGAATTTCATGAGCTCGATTTTCGACCAGCTACGTGAAGCCATTCAAGAGGGTCAACAATAGAAAATGTAATTCAACTCAAGTGCACAAACTTCTCAAAGTCTAACGAGCTGACGAACTGGTAAATAAGAAATGGCCATTGAAAACAAGACGAAAAGTTTTTGAATATCAAAAGAAAAGCAGGATTCCTTAAATTTGGATTCCTTTCATTTGACAAATGATGAACGAGCAAGAGCTTACTACGAAAGTAATTAAATTCTAAAAAGGATTTACTTATGATCTTTGTCTTATGGAAGAGCCGAAGTAGATTTACAACAATATGTATCAACTCAACAAGTCGCATATACTCATATACTATAAATGTATTCTTAATTGTTTGGCTAGTTATACCCTTTACTCGTAGAGTAAAAGGGTATACTAGATTCGTTGAAAAGTCTGTGACCATATAAAGAATATATATTCTTGATCAGGATCTATAGCCGAGTGGATCTAATTTGTATCTGATCGACAAATGTTTCTGGCGCAATACTCTTAGACATCTGCATTCAAATTTAGAATTTTATTTTTTCTAAATTTTTTTTGTAATTTTTCTGATGTGATTCAAAATCAATTTATTACAAGTACTTTTCCTTTTAAAAAAGGCATTACATTTTTAAAAGACATGTAAACTGCAATGCAAACAATTCAAATAAAGGTTTATCATTACTTATATTTATATCTATTACTTTTAGAGTAAAAGGGTATACTAGATTCGTTAAAAAGTATGTAACAGGCAGAAGGAAACTTTTCCGATCATATAAACTATATATATTCTTAATCAGGATCCATAACTGAGTCGATCTGGCCATGTTCGTCTGTCTGTCCGTATGAAAGCCTCGATCTCAGGAACTACAAGAGCTGGAATGTTGAGGTTAAGCATGCAGCTTCCAGAGTTTGTTGTCACGCCCACTCCTATGCCCACAAACCTCCCAAAACTGGCACGCCCACACTTTTGAAAAATGTTGTGGTATTTTTTTTTACTTTTTTATATATCTTGTAAATTTCTTCAGTTTGCAAACAACTTTTTGCCACGCCAATTTCAATCCAATTTCAACCGATATTCCAGAAAATGTTGAAAGTTCTCGTTTGCACTTGCACTACCTGAGTAACGGGTATCTGATAGTCGGGGACTATTCTATCTTGTTTTAATATCGCGTTCATTAATTTCTTTTTTATTACCCCGTGTAATTAGCTTGCTCACAATTGGAACACAAGGCCATTAAAAACCACTTGTTTTTACGAACTAGCAGCAGAAGCTGCCATCGATGGGATATTACTTTCCAGAAACTAAAAAACAAAACCTTTCAGACTCGAACTAATTGTTGAAAACTCGGTAGCTTACTCATCTTGTTTACCTGAGTTGGCCAAGAAAACTTTAATGGAATAAGCGGACCTTTTGCAGATAGTTTTTTCAATTGATTGCTGCACATTTTGGTTTAATTAGTCTCAGTCTGAGTTCAATTTACTGCTACTGATGGCTATTAAATTGAAACAACCGCACTTTCAGATTTTACAGCTAAATGTAATCCTGCGTCAAAAAGTGAAGGTGTCCAAGATGCCAGCACTTTGCAACTTTGTGGCATTGAAATAACGCCTCACTCGGTTTATGCAAATGTTATTTATGCATTCATACGGATTTGATTTTTAAAGGCATCTGTTTTTATAGTTTCTGCAGCAAATTCTACATCCAAGGCATCTGAAAGGAAAGTGCTGGAGTGTCGGTGGGTTAAAGCTTCCTCCGGATGTTTACACTCACCTGGCTAAGATGGAAGACCATTCATAATTTTTTATGTCAACGGAATGGCAGCCAGGGCGAAAGAGGAAAGCCGAATGCACAGATTTCAATTACGCCGAGTTTTCCCGCTCTCGAGATTTTCCTGCCCCTAACCAAGTCATTGAAGTTTCCTCGGGCGTCAGTTACATTTTATGAGTCACTGTAACTCGATGTGTGTGGTTGTGGGCGGCTGTGTGTGTGCGGTTAATGGCTGGAAATGTAATGACAGGATATGCATTGCTTGAAGTGTCGAACGGGGGCAGGACATCCAAGGAGCAGCCCCATCAAGTTGATAAGAAATTCCACGCCAATGCCATAAATCTGTTATATAAGGCCCTTGCTCATGGCCCGATTTTCACTTGCTTGCCTTTAATGGAAAGTTAGCACGTGTTTTTGGGCTAAACTTTCGAAAAAGGGAATTCCAAATTAGCCAGCTGAAGGGAATCATTTAATTACGACAGAGTGTAGAGCGCATTTCTGAAATCCTTCCCATGAAAATCTGCAAATGTGCATCTGCGATGCAATTATGCAGCAAAGCGAACAAATGCCCTTCAATCGTAAATGGAATAAATCACACAACGCCAGAGCAGATTAGATACAAAATTTAATTCCACGCACGTGTATCTGAAACTTAAACTTTAGTTGTTAAACTTGCAATAACGAGAACAATTGTCATTTTATAGGTCCAAAAATTAAAGTTTAATTTAGCCTTTCGATTTCCGTATTCAACCTATACAGGTTTGCCTTGGAACAATAGAAAATTGTTTGCCGTAGAAGCAAAACCAATAAATTGATCCCACAGCAAATACGAGTGTATGAAAAGTAAACAAACAAGAATGGCATCAACCATTTAATAGCATTGAAAATATGCACAGCATTTTTCGACTATACAAAGCCATTAAAGCAAAACCGAAAGCAAATTGAATAATTTCATGTAACAAATTGTATTGTTTTCCTCTACTTTCAGTTGGATTGAATTGGATGCAAAAATGCAGCAAGCAACGAGCCATGAAAAAATCAAATTAATCATGTTGGCTTAAACAATTTCCGTTTTGTTGGGCAAGAAAACGCATTACTCTAGGGAAAATCGAGCGGACTCAGTAGATCTTTCCCAGATGATAGCCAGCTTGGTGAGCATGGAAACGAACTTGGCCATGGAGGGCGGCCTGGATATTTCGGGTGAATCCCCAACAGCACTACCCCCCATGCCGAATGTCACCCAGACCCTGTGGGACCTGGCCATGCTGTCCACCCAGTCCACCCAGTGGCCCCTTCTGGACACCGGCTCCTCCGAGAACTTCAGCGTACTGGCCACCACCGAGACACCCTACGTGCCCTACGCCCGACGACCGGAAACCTACATCGTGCCCATCCTCTTTGCCCTGATCTTCGTGGTCGGCGTCCTGGGCAATGGCACTTTGATTGTGGTCTTCCTCAGTGTGCGACAGATGCGGAATGTTCCAAACACGTGAGTGCCCCAGGGAAAAGTTTCGGTAACTTTGGAGAAACTACGTTCGGGGTGGGTAGATACTGCTAATGGTTGACTGAGAATAGAATTTGCAACTGAAATATTTTTAAAATCAGCTTAGACTAAATATACACAAATGTTTGGGTTGTAATGAATCATTTCAGCCAGGAGCTTGCACTATAACATAACAACATGTGTTGCAACTTGTGGACCCTTATAGGATATGAACTAGTCGTGTCGCCAGCTCCACCGCTGGGTTGGTAAATGTCTTTTTGATTTACGGGCAATTTAAATTGAATTTAATTATATGCCACACGCCTGGCAGCAAAGAGTCTGTGCCAGATTATGCATGCAAAAGGCAAATGTCACGAGTTGGCCAGGAACAGTGCCTGAAAATAGTCCTGCCCCAGACCGACGAGTCGGGTAATGAGTCGGGTGGCAGGCGGGAAGGGGCTGTCGGCGGCGATGATAATGGCAATGTCGTTGCCGCCTCCGCATGGAAATCACTTAAAATTTTCCTTTCACATGTGCCCCAAAGCTCCCCACACCATACATATGTGTGCCCCACACATATTCGCATATCCAGATCGATTGGCAGATGGTGATGTTTTCACAGGCGACGAACAGGAAAATGGCATAACTAATTAGTCATGTCGGGGCTGATTTTGGCGCATACATATATGTAGTACTCCGAAGCGTGGTGTGCCATAAATCAAGTTATTCTACCAGGCTTACGAACGAGATAAATATGATTTTCGGGCAGGCAATAACAAAAACCTTATGTGACTTACATACACGAGATGTTGCCCACTTTCCGGGAAGCCAAAGTAATTCCTTAAGGGCAAACAAAAATGAATTGTTCCAGCACTTTGAGCGCAAAGGAAGCCAGTTGGAATGTTCAAGCATTTATTGTGACTGCCTTGTTTTCTCGATTCAGCAGAAATGTTCATATATTTTTGGGAATTTTAAGGCAAACTTCATTGAATCGCTTCAGGTTAAATTTACATAAAATCGCTTAAAGCGAGTATGCTCACAATTTATACTGATGAATAAATAAATAAATTCCATTCGAAGCTAATTAAGTTACGAAATTAGGTTGCTTTGCCTAGGAGCTTGCAAATTCCTATGACCTAAAGTGGTTTGATAATTCCCACGACAATTTTCTCAAGTTTTAAAGTAAATAACTCAAACCGCACGGTTTCTAGTGGCAACTTCTTGGCGTTGTGAAGTACGAGTAGTTTATTAGCGACACGAGTTCATCATTAAAGGCTACGACCTTGTGGGAAAGGGAGCGCAAGTGCTGGCCAATTAAAACATTCCACTTTGTTGGCCGAAGCGGTCAATACGGCCTGAAAAGCTGCGCCACTTGTACTTAAAGCCGGACTGTTGTGCCACATGGTTGCGACCACTTTAGTTCTGTAAAGGATGTTGAAACATTGCCAGATTGACTGCGGATAAATGTGTGACTTTGCAGGCAACACGATTTTGCATTAAGCTTAACTCACATAAAACTCACAGACGAAAGCAAATGTCAACTGATCAAATTACGCTGAAATTGCATTTCGTTGCCCTGGTGATAAATTGGTGAAAGCCAAGTTTGGTGCTTTAAAAGCCAAGTGCCTGGCCAGGATATCAAAGGACCCTTATCGGCTTTGCTGGGGGCCACAAAAACGTAATTTGGTGTTGCATTTCCGTGGCGTCGGCCAAGAGAACGTGGCAAACAAAGTGCCACATGCAGCTTATTTATGGAAAGCGGAGAGGTTGGATAAAGTCGGAATTACTGCATGAGATCACGGACCGAATTGGAAGTGCCACTGTGCGGTGGCAGATGCCAAAAACCCAGTTAAAATAAATAGTGAAATTCGCCTTCTTTTTTTCCTCGGCGACGGATAATTTACATTCCACTTAATATGGCTTATGCTAGATAAATCAATTTTAATGGTCATTGTATTACCCCATAGTCAGCAGCCTAGTACAGTTCCCTAAAAAGTTTGCCGCACATAAATCAACGGAGTGCCACATTTTTATCACACTGAAATGTGGCCAGGACACGTGCTGCGCCAAAGGAAGAGCTAACTCCGCTGCAAAGTCACCCTGTTTATCTCAAAAAGTAAAACATAAATCCACAAGCATTCGATACTCGGGAGATTAGTGGATGAATAATAGATTGTGCACCAAATGAACAGCGGATGAAAAGTTAATGAACAGACAATGAACGCTGATGAGCAGATAATGAACTCTATGTGAACGGACGATAAACAGGCAATGAACGGTAGATGAACATAATTGGTTTTAATATGGGCAATGCTTGGATCGAACTCTTAATTTGTATTCTTAAGTAACATGTTTTACTTGAAATTCTACTTTAAATGGTTTTTTTTTAGCTACATTTTATCTCTGGCCCTGGCCGATCTGCTGGTTATTATAACCACAGTGCCCCTCGCCTCCACAGTCTACACAGTAGAGTATTGGCCATATGGTAGCTTCCTGTGCAGCCTGTCGGAGTTCATGAAGGATGTGTCCATCGGGGTGTCGGTGTTCACACTGACTGCGTTATCCGGCGATCGGTATTTTGCCATCGTGGATCCTTTGAGGAAATTCCACGCCCATGGTGAGTAGAAACTCGCGATTAAAGGTAGCTTGAGATGCAGAAAACTTGCAGGACTTGATTGTGTGTAGTAGCATCCTCATTAACTCCTTTCTCATTTGCATTGCTTTTGAATTTTTCAGGAGGTGGTCGTCGGGCCACCAGAATGACCTTGGCCACAGCGGTTTCTATTTGGCTGCTGGCCATTCTCTGCGGATTACCAGCTCTACTCGGAAGCAACCTGAAGGTAGTTCCCCCCTCTGGTCCCGAAATACGTATTTATGTTTTTCCTTCCTCGCAGCACCTCGGGATAAACGAAAAGTCCATAGTCATCTGCTATCCGTATCCGGAGGAGTGGGGCATCAACTACGCCAAGTCCATGGTCCTGCTGCACTTTCTGGTGTACTACGCCATTCCTCTGGTCATCATTGCCGTCTTCTACGTGCTCATCGCCCTACATTTGATGTATTCGGCCAGTGTTCCTGGTGAAATTCAGGGAGCTGTGCGTCAGGTTAGTCGAAATTCAATTTATGTTCATAAGTACCACCAATTGAGATCAATCATTTTGTCCATACTGAACCAACGGCAAAAAAGGTAGAGTGCATTATACAGTTCTCGCCAACTGCATTCGTAAAAAATGTGTGCAAAAACTTTTTCCATTCAGTTGGGTAGCATAAAATATTCATACTAACTGGACCGCCGCATTGAAATTCAAAGGAATAAATTGACGAACTTTTTAGTGGTTTCAGAGTGATTCTATCAATAACTTCCTTATTCATTCGTGTCTACTTTAATAAATTTAGTAGGTATTCTATTTCCATTTTGTTAAAGCTTGTTTTCCTTCTTGTTATTAACATTTTCCTTCTTGTTAAATGAGCTTGAATGTTTTTGTTTGTCACAATTCACTTTCTGTTATTTAGTTTAACAGCATTCATGAATCAGTTCATTCAAAAGGAAAAGTCAATGGCATGGTTTCTGAACTGAAATGTTTAAACACCCGAAAATGCTTACAAAAAGTATTTAATGCGAACTTTTAATTTCTTTTAGGTCGCTCAAACTTTTTCTACTTCTGTTTGTAGATAAACTTTGCTTAAGCTCCCTTTCATCCATCGTCATTGACTGTGTGCTTTATTTCAAAAACTTCTCAATTTTATTACAACAAAACAATCTTTATGGTCTTCATTTTCCAAACAGTGTGCTTAACAACATTGTGCTTAATTTTCATATTCGTTACTCGTTGATTACAGGGGTATATTAGATTTTCAAAAAAGAATGTAACACGTAATAGGATAAACTAAATTTTATCAGGATTCAAAAAGTTTTGAGCACTTTTTTGTAATAGCCGCTAGGTGGAGCTCCTGTGGACTCCTTAGGATAATCTAACTGGTTTCGATAATCTAAAAGTTAGTTTATAATATTCAAGAGCCCTCGTTATAAATGGATTATATTATATTTGTAAAAACCGCGGCCCCTTTCCCCATTACCGATTAACCCATGTTGCTGTTTGTGTTTCATTTTTTTCAGGTTCGGGCCCGTCGTAAAGTGGCTGTTACTGTGCTGGCCTTCGTTGTCATCTTTGGAATTTGCTTTCTGCCCTACCACGTCTTCTTCCTCTGGTTCTACTTCTGGTGAGTGCTCTGGGTCCTCTGATTTGGATCCACCTCCCTGGAGGGGTGCTAAACTGGGTATGCTCGTGAATGAATGGATGGAAAGTCAATTTGTCAAGCGGATAAAAGGGAACCTGCCAGCAGCAAAGGATATGGCGCACATATCGCCTGTGACCGCTCACAAAGGGTCCTGCGTATGAGTAATGTTGTTGCCATTTGTCCGACACTTGTTCGCCTGGGATGCCGGACAATCAATTTGCCCCCGATATCTCCATTATGGGTGCTTTGCTCGCTCTGAATCCCGATGTTTGTTTGTGTTTTTTCAAGGGGTACTCGGAAAGTCGAGGGGTATATGAAGTGCTCCGAACCGAGCTTCTAGTTATAAATATTTATATTATGCATAAATAAATGCAATTAAACTGTTTGCATTTCCATAAAGTAATTAATATCCACCTATGAAACTTTGCTTCCCCAACTCCATATCAAATTCCTATTATGTCATTCAAATACTTTTACTGCGTATCTGATAGGCTACCTAATATTCGTTCTCTGACTTTGCAGGCCCACTGCCCAGGATGATTACAATGCCTTCTGGCATGTGCTGCGCATCGTCGCCTACTGCATGTCCTTTGCCAACAGCTGTGCGAATCCTGTGGCCCTGTACTTCGTGAGCGGCGCCTTTCGCAAGCATTTCAATAGGTATTTGTTCGTTTACATCAATCCACCAGCCGCATAACAGCGCTACAGCATGACCAATCGGTACCCGCTAGTCGGTAGTCGACTGTCGCTAGCAAATCAATAAACAAACTGTAGCCCCGTAACTGTAAGCGTAAGCCAACTCAATTTGTATCACTCCTTCTATACAGAACTCTTAACTTTTTATTAACAAAAGAGCAAAGAAAAATCTGAAAACATTCGAGCAAACATGCGTGAACATGCATTGAAAGTTCACTACGATTTCATCCACAACTTTAAGCACAACGCATTTGGTACTTTCTTGGTCATCCTTTTGGAGTTGGTGCTCGTTTTTGAGCTATTTTCATTTATTGATTTTATTTATTCAAAAGTTACTGCAGTTTTCACGACTTCATTCAATTACATATGTTATTCTTTAATATTTACGAGTCTATTTGAGAGCTCTACCGATGACAGGATCGAACAAGGTGGAATAATTGATGGATGACAAAATAGAAGCATATAGATGTTATGAACTTTTGCCAACCATGTTGTAACCACCCATTTCATTTTCATTTAATCAATTTTCTAATTTTTTCCTCAACTTGCGTTTGAGTATATGTTCGTTCAATGACCAATAGCCACACTTCCCCATCGGAATGAGTTTATGCTCTCAAATTGCATTCTGAAATTGTTTGATGCTTTCGCATTCGCTCACAAAGTGCATGCACTGGAAACAAAACTTTGAAGGTAGCTGGGAATATTTTTTTCATTTTTCTAAGTTATCTACAATTTGCTCCCAGCTTAATTCAAATATATAATTGTAGTATTCATTGTTTTATTATGCGCAAATTTCTTTCAAAACAATTATTTAAATTTATTTCTCAAATTCTCACACTTACGTAGCTATTCTGATATCAACCCAACTAGAAGAAAAGCAGAATATTTTGCAATGCTCTTACCACATAAATTTGATTTCAACCAGACTCCATACCAATTTTGCTCTGTGTAAACACATAAGACCCCCCAGACAGCGTCCCATGTGAGGGAATTTAATGAAATATTTTTGCCTGACCCGCGAATCTGGAACCATTGTTCCGAAAACTGCATTCTTTCCCGCCAGATATCTGTTTTGCCGCGGAGCAAGTGGACGGCGCAAGAAGCGCGGCCAGCACGACACCTTCTGCATGCACCGGGACACCTCGCTGACCAGCACGGCCTCCAAGCGCTTCCAGTCCCGCCACTCCTGCTACCAGAGCACCATACGCAGGTGAGTCCTGCCCCTTCTGTTTTGGACTTTCCGGAACCCATCATTTACGACCACCACAATGGACAGCTGTCGCCTGCAGGAGACCACGATAACCACCCTGCCGAATGGCGGGAATCCGAACGGAGCCCCCATTTCAGCGGTGGAATTGGCAATGCCCGTGCTCCAAGCACCAGGTCACAGTGACGCACCCGCATCGCAGTCCTACGGATTTTTGACGCCTAACGAGATTGGCCAGCAGACCAGGTCGAGTCCAGCCAAGTTCCAGGAATCGCTGATGAACTGAATCCGGGTGAGAACAAATGGGTGCGTGGATTTAAACGGAGTTTACAGGAATTCGGGCAGCCGTGTGCCCATATCCTAAGCACTGTATCGAAATCAAAAGTGAATGTATTTAAAAGCTTAAGATTTCAAAACTACCACTTCATACTTTCAAATCAGTTCAAAGTTGAAGTTTTATCCTTAATTTGGCTGACTGTAAATGGGATAAGAAATTGCCTAGGTAATGTGAAAAACGTACTTGGTCTGCAGCTAGTATTTCTGAAGCGTATTATAAATAAATTCGTTGGTTACAACATTGGTAAAATATACACTTATTTTTGTGACACTACACTAAACTTGAATTCGAATGTAAAAACCAAAACGTGCCATCAAAAACCAATTGAGAATGGCTTTGGTAAAACTTTGGCAAGGAATTAGAGCTACAAAAATGTTATTTAGTGTAAATATACATATGCCTAACAATTTTGATGTCTTTTTCTGTGTCAAAGCTATGGAAATTAATCCTATAAGTAAACTGAAGTATTGCAGCCGTGGCGCGGCTTTAAGCTAAACATATTTTACGTATAAATTATATTAGACGGTTAAGAGGCTAAAAATTATTGTGCGCTCTTAAATAGACCAAGAGAAACTTTGTAAATACATTTTTATGTGCCAGCATATAGTTGAAAATAAATGTAAATTGTGCGTTTAAAACTTTGACTCCATCTGTCTGCCGTTCGCGAAAGTCACCGAAAATCCTTAATATTCTGGGAAGTTTATGGGAAATTAAATTACGGAGTCAACTTTAAGGAGCTCTAGAGGAAAACTTTGCTTCCCACAACAACCAGAAGATAGGCCGGTCGCGACCTGAAAAAAGGAAAAGCCAAAGGGATTGGGATTGGGAAAACTCCCTGCGGTTTTAAGGCATTTTTGGGAAGATTAATTGGTTTGGCTGCAGGCAGAGAGGTGAAATCGGAGTCACAGCTTAATCTTATTCACTTCAAACAAATCGCTTACATCTTTTTGTGTGGCCGTGTGCTTTTTTGAAAGTCATGGAACAGTCGTTTGATTTGCCTGCAGTATAAAAGGCTATTGGGGTTTTCATTGCGGAAACCCCTTTAAAGATTTCAGGGTTCTAGATTGATCCAAAATCGAGATATGAATATGCTCTTTGTGACATGTTGCTTTGGGGACTTTTTTTCAGTTGAACTGATTGATTTATTCAAAGCTATTCGGGCCTTGTTTCCTTAGAAAAACAGGAAGTTGCCCAAATGTAGCTTGTGTGACAGCCTAAAGATGTAAAGATGGACTAATGATGACTAATGGCAGCGAATAATTGGCAAACTCGGAAGATATTCAAAAAGCTTCTTAGGCTGAGCACTTAATGACCAGATTTGTAAATGTCAAAATAAATTTCAACTTTAATTGCTTGTGCTGGCTACATTTATTTTGATCAATATTTTGATCATCGTTTGAAATCATAACTTTGGAACTTTGAAATCATAAACTTAAAATTGAAACTTGTGTCTGGAGATGATTTCTGTTGAGGCTCGTTAAACGAACTTCGTTGCTCTGGCCACAAAGACGACATTAACTTTTCATCTCGTTTCCAGAATCAATTTCCGGCCATTTCGAAGATGATTTTGTGGGCGTAAGTGTCATTGAAATGTGCCATCACGTCAATCAGCTTAAATCGGACGCACATTTGGGCCATTATTTACTGGAATGCTTTTGCTTTTGCTTTTGCCTTTTGCCTGTGGGATTTGCCACAGTTTCGACAGATACAGAAATTAAATTAACTCATGAAAATGTCGAGCGCGTCGGCCGTGAAAGCTACGTGCCATGGATTTTCCCTTCTCGTATCCTGCGACTCCTTTTGCATGTCCTGGCGACAGACTTGGTTATCTTGGGCCTGGCAACCCGCGAGTTATCAGCTGTTTTCCTTTCCATCCAGCACTCCTCTATTTACTTGGCCATCTTTTCGCTACTCATTTTTAATAAACCAGCTTCGGGTGCTCATTGCGGCATTTCAGCGACCACGTCAAGTTGTCATCCAGCCAAGTCGTGTGCTTATCCCGGCTTTATTAACTGTCCAAAGTGTTTGTAGCCCGCCTCTGCAGAGAGTCCTTTCCTGGGCATCCTTGACTGCGTCATGATTTTCTGTGTATTTCGTCTTCTTTTCGGGTTTCGAATATCAAGCTATTTTTGCTCATTTTCCGATGATTATTTCTGTTATTTTTAAACGTGGTCTGAAGGAAACATAATTCTGGCTATGTTTGTTCTGTAATTACTCAGTGAGTCCTTCGACATTGTTTACTACCACCTCGATAATCTTTAAAAACATTGAATATACATATATTATTTGCTTATAATTTATCTTTGTATACTTTGTAAAGAGTTCTTTTCAGCCAAACCATTTAAAATAGTAGCTATAAATTCATTTCATTTCATTCAATCGATACATTTATGCTGCAATGATTCTTGCGGTTTCGACAAATGAAAGCTTAAATATCATGAATAATGCGCAATTATTTAAATGTTACTTTCCTATCATTTAATTAAATGAACATACCAAGCCGTAAAGCGTTGTTTATTAAAAGTAGGTTGTCGGGAGTTAAGCCACTAATTATTTATTTATTGGCGCTCTTTTTAATTCAGGATGTTTACGGAACGCGTGTCCACCATAATATTTGCTTTTATCCCAATTTCTCGCAGTTCAGTGACTTAATTTTATTGTTTCTGGGGCACACTTTATTTAGCCAATTAAATAGCCATACCAGAGTGTGTTTAATTCAACAGCTCGCGACTAAATGGCCATTAATATTAATTTAAGTTAGAGCAGCGCCAATTTTCTTGACACTTCAAAACCACACAAACAAATTCCCATTCGTAATGAGGAACTCAAGAACTCCCATCCATACACGAATAAAAACAAACCCAAAGACAAACATGGCAATGGCAATAACAATAATAATGGTAGGACCTTAATAAGATATATGGGTGGGTGGATTTTGGGGCTGGCTGGGTGGAAGGGAAAATGGAGAAACATTGGCGTGGTAAATAAATAAAACGATTTCAGGCGCTCAGGTCGCATATGTAAACACGAAGTCCTCAAGGTGCAAAGCAGAGCGTCTTAACGGCATTCCCTGTGTGAAAAACGTGGTTTTTCCGGGAAAATGTGTGGCGGGGAGAGCGTGGGCTGTGGGGATCGGTGTGACGAAGGGTCCTTGCTAATCGTAAATTGCCTGGCATCGCACTAATCTACACATGCACACTCGCATGCACACACACACATTTTAGGGGCATAAAAATCGGCACTCAATTGGCATGAGGGCACTTTGGGGCCACTCACATACACAGTTTTCCCCTCGAATTTTCCACCTCCCTGCACGTACATATGCTTATGCCTGGGCGTTCTGTCGCCAAGAGGCTCGAATTTTCCTTGGCATCGCTGACGGCATATTCTACGAATTATAGCATATAATTTCCCAGCCCCTCGCATCTGCCCGCGCATTTTAAATGCCCTAATGGGATACAAATAATAATGCGGCTTTCCGCCCATTGAATCAGTAATATGTTAATAATAACATCTAAGAATGTTGTTATTAGCTTAATTTGGATAAATAATAGCTAACTGATCTTGGTAAGCTGCCAAACGAGTGGGTAAGTAAGTATTTAATCTTAGCTTTTCTATTCTTACTTACAAGTTACAACTTTCTGGTACCAACTAAAAGTTATATTGTTTATTAAAATTAAATCCATATCAGAGGCCTCATCAATCACGCACTTAAAAGCTGCCATCAATAAGCAGAATTCTCAATTTAATGTGTAGAATGATTTATGTTTGTGTAAGTAGAACACATGAAAATGCATACATTTACCATATAAAATATATGTTTGAATATTTGGGAAGAACTGAACGAAGCGCAGATTATTACCCAACAGGACGAAAGTTTAGCCAACTGGCAGAGCTGAAATCACCACCTGCTGATTTATATTAACTTGGAATTATTCAAGCGTGCCAGGACCTCCCGTATCCTCCGACACTGGCCTCCGGTTCGTTTATTATCGGTCACTGGACCCGCATGCTGCTCCTCCGACGCACTTAACCTCGGACATGAGAGTCTATTTTAAGCATTTACAACTTTATGGCAAGCGGTCAAGAGTCAGGCCATCCACTCTCCCATTCACATCCACATCCGCATCCACGACGGCCCCCCTGGAGACCGACTTTAAGCTCCTTTCGGGAGCAATCACAGTTGGCGGCTGGCAAGTGCCACGGGAGCCACCCACGCTCGGTTGCCCACCACCAAGTGTAATCCTAGAGCTCACCCACTTTTCGAGGCACTGATTTTTGCCTGCTAATTGTCGAGGCAGCAGAAGCTGGCGAACTTCTAAAATCCGACACCCAGCTGGCTGCTGGGACGTCATTATTGGGCAAGGAGTAGGAGGAGGAGCACCTGGCATTTGGGTGACATCAAGCATACGCCTCGTGTGGCAGGGCTGGAATTTAATTAACTGGCGGTTGCGAAAAGGCTCCATTTGATACATAGACAATTAGACAGGTATCGATTCAGGTTTCTCCTGCCAGCCGAAATATTCTGGTGATATGCCCTCAAAGTCGCAGGCAAATGTATTCTGGTCCAAATCGAAGGAATGCCATTATACGCACTTGAAAGCTGACACTGAAATCGTTGGTAGGAAGAATAAACCAAGTTAAAAAGGGCGAAAAGCAAACGAAACCGCCCACGCGTGTGTAAATTTGGACGAATATAAGACCCGCTTTGGGCCAAGTGGCGTATGATGGGCCAATCAACCCGGCCAAAGTCACGAGTCACGAGTCCTTCCCCACAGGCTGAGCAAATAATAAAAAGGACATTCGCCCGAATTGTCACATTCGTGCGCTTAACTGAATGACAAAGCCGCAAGGATTTAACTGCCCCCTGTTTATGCATTTGTCAATAGACCGAACAAAGGAGGTCCCAGAGTCGGCGCGAATCCTTTCTTTGTTTTGCTCGCACCGAATACTTCACAGTTCAAATGTTTTGCATATGCTGGTGGCTTGTTTAATTTTCCTAAGCGTTTCTCGGCAATCGAAATGAAGCCCTAAGGAGCTTCAGCAAATGCCCAAAATTTATACTTCAAACGATTTATTTAACTTTCTGCGCAAGTGACATGGCTTTACTAAAGGTCAACGTCAGATTTATTTATTGAATAAATATTCTTGTATTAACAGCTGAGAGCATCGTCCAAAGCTGGCACTTGTCTAATTAATTTTCATTTCAATTTCAGTTTTTGTATCGAGCCAAATCGCTGATCAAACTTGCCCAAAATCCGAGTGGCGTCCAACTGGCGAACTTTGAGTCCTGATAAAATAAATCTCTTTTTTCGTTTCGTTGATTTTATGCGTTTGTTTTTGTTTTTTCGGGTTGCGGGGAACGAGGGCCAAGTGCAGATGAACCCTTTTCAATCAAATTAGCTATAGTCAGTGGAGCAATTCCACCATGGTGAGCAGATGATGAAAATTCTCGACGGAATTATAAAACGGGTTAAGCATAAGCAAAGAGTTCAGTACGATGGAAATATTTGACCAACAACTGCTTTATATACGATTCCAATTAAGATTTAACCATAGGTCTTGCAATTTCCATAATTAAGTTGAACAATCGATATCGAATTCCAGTTGCAGATTGAAGTTTGAATTTT